TATTCTTCATTTGGAGTAATTATAGATGGAGAGGTAAAAAGATGTTTTTCCCCTTTCTTTTCTTTTCTCCTTCTTACCCATCTTCCTCTCCCCCGCATGCATTCAGAGGCACGGCATTCTTATTAGGGACATGTCTGAAAGGCTCCCGCAGCATGTGGTGTCCTCTGACCATTCACTATGGCTGCTTTTTGTTGGCATTAACAAACCAGGCAACCAAAGACAGCTTTTCAACAGGTACAAACTTTTCCTTTTAGATAATTAACCACATTCAGACACTCAGCACAGTGTAGGCAATGTGGGTACAGAAGCCTAGAGAGGATCATATTCTAGAAAAGAAAGGGGAGAAAGATGGGGAAAAAAAACTTGATCGAAAGACAAGATGTTCTCTTTGGTGTTGTTTAGTGCTAGTGGATTCTATACCAAACCCCTATTCAAATAGTGTGGTCTTTATTTCTGCTCTCCTCGCCTCTGTCCTCTTCATCTTTTCATCAAGATGGACCATGTAATGAGGGAAAACTCTGGTCATTGTAGAGTGGTCAAAGGTTTGCTGCCTTAATGAATGGGAGAAACAGAAGAAGGGCTGAATGCTCTCCCTCTACGCTGTTTTCCTCGCCGCAAAAAGCCCCGGGATGCCTCCTGAAGAAGTCCTCCTCCATCCATTGCCGCCTCGTCTCTTGTTAACAGGGCCATAAAGCGAAGGCAGAGGGGGAAAAGTAATTTTCTTCTCCTGTCCCTCCATTCTTTTGGTGGGTTTCTTCCGCTTTTTGCTGTGTACTTTCATAAAGCTTATAATTACCTTGCAGAGAGCCCCTCAAGTGAGAACGAATGGGGTCTTTGTAGCCTTCTCTCTTCAGCCCTCTCCTGTTTCTGGGAAGAAGGAAGTCATATTAACATTTGGTCTTCCTCTTTTTCAGATGCAGTGAGAAAGCCAGATGTGCCTCTTTTTAAAGAGAGAAGCCTTTCAACAAGTTAATTGGACTGAATCACCACTGAGAATGTCAGAACAGGATAGGAGAACATTGCAGAAACTAGAGGAAGTTATCCAACTTTAATCTAATTAACTCTCTACTAATTATCACATTTGCTAGTTCGGTGTACAGCGCATTAATACATATTAGTAATAAAATAGTATATTTGCCTACAGTATTGTTATTCCTGTTTTTTCAAATGTAGAAATCCCCACAAAAAGATGACACAACCACAAGCTATCCAGGCATGAAAATAGCAACATCTAACCCTAACCATTGCAGCAGAGATCACTGATTTAGGGTCAAACTCTCCCCCTTTATCATCTATGCAAATCAGGCCTCCACTCACCCAGCCCTCCCTTGATGCCTCTGACCTCCATCCCCAACTCTTCTGGCTGATTACTCCTAATGTAATTTTAATTAAAAACGGTGGTGTCAAAGGGTTTAGCCTGCCTGAGAAGCGGGTGCAGATTGTGGCACAGTGGCACACCCCTTCACTTGCTTGAGAGGAAATGCATCCTGACATTGCTTGGGTGGTGCCAACATGACCGAAAAAGCAAAAGAGCATGTATGTATGACCCAATTGGATATTGTTTAATTTGATTCTGCCCAGAAATATGTGTGTTTCTCTCTCATATCTTTGAATTTGGGGATTACCATTTTAATAAATGTCTCAGTCTATTTAATTTAACCTAGCTGTTGATGCTTCAAATCAGGTTTGCTGGAGTTAGTTATTGTCATCCTAATTTAAAAAGAAACTAAGTATTATTCTTCTACTTCTGTGATACATATCAGGTCTGGTTAAAAAGCTTTATTATTATTTATTGCTGATAATGTAAACATTTTGGATTTTTTGGAAGCCATGCTTGCTTCCACCATCAAACTCCATCACACATCACCACGACTCTTTCAACAGAATATTTACATATAGTCGTAAATCATAAATCAGTATAAAGGTCAGCTACAAGGGAAGGTGAATCCGCCTAGCTGAGTTAATCTAACATCAAAATGCAGTGACTTGACATTGACTACAATTACCACCGCCAAATTTCACAGGGGTGACCTGCGTAAGGTGCCCCACAGCAGGACCCAACAGCATAGGTCTGCCTGTAGGTGTGTAATCCCCTTACCCGAGTCGTTGGATTATCTGCTCTCCACCGACCCTGAAGAGGCTCCCCATGGCTCGGGCTTAAACACTCTCTCAAATCTCATCTCTATGCCCCATCTGCCGGCCGTACGACGTCTTGGAAGACACAGAGCTGGAGGAGTGGGGGACTGAGGCAGCACAGAGGAAATCAGAACACACCTACTCCTACTCGCTGGCTTGAGAGGAGGCTTTAGAAAAACACAGTCTGTTTCAGTCAGTATGCTCATCCAAATTACTTTCAGGATCAATGAGTTATTAAATTCCTATATGTTAAAATGTATCGTGTTAATAATAAAACCATTATCTTTGCTGTTTACCTCGACTTTAACATTGCTTTGGAGGAATTTTACATGACTTTGCTTATAAAAAAATCATATCATACACAAATAACTGCTTATCTTGAGACTTATAAGTGCGAGAAGTGTCAGTATGACCCCTCGACATTCTCTGCTCAGTGGACAGTTGGAGGAGCTGGTGGTTGTCCCTGAGCATTGAGGCATGTAGTAAGAGGGTTTAACTTTGCTAACCTCCTTCTGCCAGGTTCATGGGGTCCTGCTGCTCGGGTAATATTGGATCAGTGTTGGGAGCCCGTGCCCCTGCCATACAAGCCAGCACGATACCTGGGGCAGCGAGCAGCTTCCACCACAGAGCCAACTGGACTTGATGCTGCTCACTTGCCTTCTTCTCAAGACATATCATTCATAGCTTTTTTATACTGTATTTTATGGACCAAAGTAAACATTTGTGGGAATATCTTTGCTGAACTGAAAATCAAAAATACTGTTAAGATTTCTGTCCTTAAAGGCTGAACTTGCAGGATTTACTCTGGTTATGAACAAAATGTAATTGCTTCAGAGACTGATTGTCCGGCATTGTAAGTCAAGTCAGTTACATTGGTAAATGAATTAAAATCACATAATATCAATTTGGCTTTTGCATTAAAAAAGGTTCCCTTGCAATAACTATTTGGTCTCTTCACCAAATGATAAGGAACAGTTAGAACTTAAAATAGTAACATAAATGTAAATGATACACACTACATTGTGCCCCCAATAGAAAAACATGCAATATTTGTTTTGTTGTTTTTCGATAAAAGATTATGAACCCTTTTATTTAAAAGTGGCAAAACATTATAATCCATTAAAATCACTTGGTTTGGTCACTTAATACAAAATAAGTCTTCCTTATTCATTATTTCTGTTTACTATATTTCCATATGCATTTGAGAAAAATGAAAAAAAAAAACCTGTTATTAAGTAATCTGATTTTCTTTGTGACCCCTAAAATGCTATTTCCATTTTAACGTATACAGCATTAATATCAGGGGTCTTAATTTGATATTTGATCAGATTTGTGAATATTGTGGTTTCAACTATGAGTTTAGTAGAAAATACCTACATTGGATTTCTTAGACATATTATTTGCTAAATAAAATAAATGTTGTATAGTATAGACATTTCCCTTGGATGTGGTTTGGTTGTGCAATCATCTGTGCTCCACTTGGCTCTGGTCTGCTGTTTTAACTTGGCTAGTGCAAGATTTTGGAAAGATTTGCAGATATTCAAATCTGCAGATGCCCACCTGGTGTCAGGAGGGATGGAACACAAGAGTGTGCTGTCTGGGAGGTGTTTGGTTGGGCTTGGAGATGTGTGTGGTGTGTCCATCTGTTGTATGTGTCTATATTCTGGGGGGAACAAAAAAAAACATAGTATGAAGTGCACACAGGTGAAGGCCTGTGGTAACTGTTGAAGGAGTCTTTTTTCTTGTAGAAACCTTTGTTTTTTTCTTGTTCGCCTTTGATTTGTAGATAAAAGGAATGTACTCCTACACAGAGGTAAAGTGACAGCTTTATCGCTAGGGTCAGAGAGCCGTGAGAACTTCAGGCAGACATGCGAAAACAACTCTATATCCCCTCCACTGATAGTGTGTGTGGGTGAGTGTGATTTGTGAAGGCGCACTGGGTGTGTGTGGTTTGGATATGCAGATGGGTAGCTTACGCCTATTTCATACTGTAGTCTATAGTCTAACAGGAGGTGTGATACGGGGTGCTTCAAGGTGTGTGTGTGTGTGTGTGTGTGTGTGGGTGGGTGTGTCTGCGAGGTGTACCTGTCGCTTTGACTGAACAGGTGGGTCTTCCTTGCATGGGATCTAGACAGCCAGTCCTCCACACAACTGACTGTGGTCAGGCTTAGCGGCACAACATGCAGTCTGTGGTGGAGGCTCACAGACATGGCTGGATGTTGCTGTAGTCACAGCGGAGTATACTTTCCCCATCATTATGGCCTTTTTCCACTAATGCCAGGTGCTTCAAATAACAAATAATAAAATCATGTTTTATATAGCATGAAAATGAAAAAAGACAGGGTAAAGTTCTAGGTTATTATAGCATCAGTCAAAACAAATCTGGCAACATTAAAGCTATAGTAATTCCAGCCATATTTGGAATCTTCTTGAATTGGTGAGGGTATGAGTTAGAGTGCTTCCTCCTGTAGAGCAAATCATTTGACATTAGCAAAGGATTTATACAATCATTTAATAATATTCAATTTAAATGTTATTAAAAGTAATGTTATAATGGTTATTGGAAGGAAACACTGGTCCTCACTTAGGCTCATAACACATTTTACAACTCAACAATTTCACATCAAGAAAAGATTGAAGCTTAATAACAAAAAAGCTTTATTGTTATCATCCCACATTGTACCTCAAACAGAATTATTAGTACAATTACAATTATAACCTTGATTATTATCATCCTCATCATCATTATTATTATATTTCAGCACTATAATGGATGGAAAGTAAGGACAAAATAATAAAAACGTAATTTCTCAACAGGAAGGACCAAAGAGCTGAATCGCCCCCTCTCCAAAGTCCGTGTGTGAGTCTGGGATATGTAGTTTCTTACGCTGCGCAGAGCCCTGGAGAGCTGCGTAACTGCGTCAGCGGAAGTGTTTTGAGAGGTCACAACACAAGGGTTAGTTTTGTAATGTTATGAGAAATTGAGAATCAGCACTACAATGGAGGAAATTAAAACAGGTATACAACATTTCTGTTCTTCTGAATGCATGGCGTGTCCTGTTTAGCATAGCGTTAGCTAAGTATACACGCTGTGTCGATCTTTACACAGCTTTATTCAGCCTCGTGCATTCAGGAAAGACTTCTCAATGTTATGTGGGCTCGTGTAGCTAACGTTAGCTAGCAACATATTCAACTGGTTATCTCTACGCACTTGTAATTCATACATTATTCTTTGCGTATCCATTAGGTTATATGTCCAGTACCTATGCAATAATAGTATAACGTGTATTCTATAATCATTAAACGTCGTCATTATAATAATGCCCACCATGGTTGTGATGGTCTACCTGTGTCTCTGTTTGCCCTGCCTTCTCAGATGAGATCCACCTGAGACATGTGGAGACAGATGTCCTTATCCCCAAAATGATGAGGGAGAAAGCCAAGGAGATCTGTGTCGAAAAAGTTGAAGGTGTGTGTCCATCTGTGCGATTGATAAAGCATATTTTCCTTTACAAAAGTCCAACTCAATTAAAAATGGTACACACTTGTTTATCTTGCTTCAAGTTTGCAGGTAACAATTACATCTGACAAGACACCATTTAAAAAAAAAAAAAGTAATAATAAAAAAAAAGGTTTAACATTGGTTTGTGTTTATTTGTTTGGTTTGTATCTACTTATATAGGATGTTAGTGCTATTTTTTATTAATAGCGACATTACTCTTAACTATTTTAGCAATAAAAAAGCCTAGGTTAATTCATGTAAATGTTATAGTGTATTTGCACATGTGTCCAGTCCAAGTCAATACTTTTAACGTCAATAAGCATGATGTTTAATGTATTAAACTAGACATTTTGACTATGTCTAAGCAGCAATAGATCAGGTCTACTCAAATATATGAACAAGTTGTGGTGAAGCAGTTCAAGGTCATTGACATTATGCATACTGGCTCACTAACCCTCCTTTGAAAAATCACCTGTACTTTTTCCTGCTACATTGGGTTAATGCTCTTCTGAAAAAAAAGCTCTTCATTTTTACCTCACTGAAAAAGAATGGTCTAATCCCCTGGCATCAAAGTTGTATTAGAAAAATAAATTTGATCTTCAAAAGACCCTGAGACATTTTAATCAAACAACATTATTATAACTATTTCCTACTATGACCAATTTAAATGTGTGCCGAGAAAAAAGGCAAATTCTATTAAAAAGGGGAGACGACAAACTAGAAACACTTGTCAATGTAAGACAGTAACATTCAACACATTTCTGCCAACAATACGACCCACATGTTGATTTAAACACCTGTCTTCAATAAACCATTTAAGTAAAAAAAAAACCTACACATTATAATCGTCATAAAGGTATGATACATTTTTGTATTGTACCTAATAAACTGGGAGCTGAGTGTATACTGTATTATAAATGCAATAGAAACTCAACACATCACAAAATACTGGTATATTGACACATTGTCTACAGTAGCAGAGGTCACTAGACAGTATTCCTCTTTTTTCCTTTTGTAACTGATTTCACCCCCTAAATAAATACATGTTCTTTGGAAAAAGTTTGTATTTGTATATCCAAGCTCATTAGGTCCTTTTATGAATCCTTTTAATTTAAAGGGTGCATTTGCAATTTGCATTATGAAAAGTACACCGCTTCAAACAAGTCTTAATATCTTCCAGAATATGACATTTTAGGAAAACGCAAAAAAAACACAATACCATAATACTTGTGTATTAAGGTTAGGACTTTGTCATACTAAAGCTAATTTAGTCAAAAATGTTCAGTTCTCATTTAGGTACAGCATCGCAATGAAGTACTACAACCCACCAGTATTGTTTGGTTCATAGTTAGCATTTTTTCTTCAGAGGAAGAAATTGTAGATTTTGGAACAATTTAAAACGAAAAATGTGTCGATACACACAAACTAACTCTCTAAACCAGAGGCCTATACTACGAAGCCGGATTTTCGCTTAGCCGGCTAACTTCAGGGAAAACTCAGGGTTTCCGGTCCTACGACGCTGGTTCTATTTTTAGCGGGCTAGATCTCCATGGTAACTTATGCTGAGCGGCTGACCTGCTCCGGAGCAGGTTAGGTTGCAGGCTAAGAGATCAACTTAGTGAAAACACTGCCTGCTGACCAATCAGAGCTCAGTGTGCGGAGTTTAAAGCGATCAAGTCATATTACATGAGAAAGGAAATACAGAAAAGCTGCCGTCGCAGGAAAGACGGCCGGCAAAAATCACCGACTGTGTGAACGTGAACATTAATAGAATATCACCTCCCATCTTCAGAGCAATCTGACTATTATAACATTAGCGTTAAGAAAGCTTACTTAAATATCTGCCACAACATAAGTAACCGGATCAAAGTAACATTACGTACAGTCCGCGGCACTGTGAGTGCAGACGTCGGTGTGTCCCATTATCATTCATATCACATCATAATGTATCATATATTTCCTTATCTGAGTCAGCTGAGCCGTATCTGGCCGTGCAACACTCACAGTGTCACATACTGTATGCAGGAGTATTATTTTAAGCAACACATTAAGTTGACGAAACACTCGAGTCAAATGTAATTAATGGAGACGTCATGGCCATTTCCACTGATCATAATTCCATTGTTGAGGTCTACTAGAATATATTTGTGCAATTTTCCAAACTCACATTGGTTTCTCAAACAGCATCTCTGTAAACTACGTGTATTCACTGAATTTCACTCTCTGCCTTTAACGGCTCGTTGTAGCTCCAATAGCTCCAGCCCCCACCCTCACTGTGAGCACAGTGTGCTCTGATTGGTTGGGACGTTGTGAATCGCGCTGAGCTCAGTGGCGGTGTGGTTTCCTTGTTTAGCGAAACACAGCCAAACTCACCCTGAGCACACACAAAGTCACAGCCGAAGTAAAAACAATAAGTGTGGCTTGATATTGAGTAAGAAAAGTGTTGATAAACGCTGTGAGAATGGGTCTGCAGAGAGAATTTCGCCGCGATCCCAACTGTCTGTTATCAGCCTGCAGGCAGGGAGGAGAAATCAGCAGAGCTGCCTGCACTGAGTGTGTGAGGAAGTCCGTGGATTGGTCAATTTGGACCAATCAGCGGGGGCTTAACGTAACGGCTCCGCGGACGTAACGTAACAGCTCCACGGATTGGTCCATTTCGTTCCGGGTACGGGTTGACATCATGCCGTACCCGGAAGAATCAAATGGACAATGACGTGTCTCCAGCGAGGCGTTTTGGGGAGTTTTACTCGCTACTTTGAGGGTTTGTGACTCTGCACACCGTTTACATGCATAAAAACCTTCATAACACACAAGGGGACGGGTAATAACCGGAAAAGCTTAACATGTCTCCTTTAAAGTCAGATCCACTTGTGTCTTAGACGGGGCAGTGATATCATAAAGGGGGAGGGGGGCTCGTGAACTGTCAACTGGAGGGCGGGGGGAGCCTCGCTGCGGGGAAGCTGTGGACCTCTGTCGCCTGTCAGCGCAACTTACATGATGCCGTTTAAACACATTTAAATAAATAAAGGGCGGTGCCGGCCGTCAGCAAACCGAGCCCGGTCGTCAACGGCTCGCTGGCGACCGGCTCGGTTCGCTGATGACCGGACGTACTGTGATTCTCCAGAACACACAGTTGGCCAGTCTGCCCCTGTGTAGCATATTATTTTCGATGAGCAGATCGCCACTGGGCTTTCAACCAAAGACACACCCACGCAAAAACTGCGGCATGTACAGCTCCTTATACTGCAATGTGTGAAGTGCGCTTCACCCCTGGTCGTTTCACCATGGAGGAAAGCAGCAGAAAGTCGACTGGAGCGGGGGCCTTGAAGTTATCTTTCTTTGCTGCGTTGCGTGCATGGCTTCCTTCTGCAGGGGGAAACACGCTCTGCCGGCGGTCTCGTTCAGGATCCGAAAATACAATTTAAATATTTTTGCACACTTATTCCTAGTGTGCCACTGGTTACGGTGGCACGCGTGCCAGGGTTGCCTTGCCGACCCCTGCTCTAAACCTTCATGTGGCGGTTTTGAGTTTTTTCTAATATCTTCCTTCTGTGGACTTTGATCTAACCTTGTTTTTCTCTCCTTTTTAATCTTTTAACACTTTTTGATTGAACTGTTTCCCACCACCATGAACACCCACTGTCCATAGTTACATTTCTCCGAATTGAGCAGTAGGCCATTTAGCATCAACCCGTTGCCACTTCATCTGCTTGGAAATGCTGCAGCTTTGCTCACCTTACCCTGTTTACTGCAGCAACACATCTGTCACACAATGACTGTTATGTGGTTTGGTGAAATGTAGTGGTGTGTAGTGCTCAAGCGGGGAGATGGTGCATGGGACAGACAGTGGCTGTGTGGGTAGTGGAAACCCCCCCCCCCCCCCCCCCCCCCTTCACATTACTTGCTTCCATCCCACTCATTTTCACACCTCCATGCAGTGTCTGCACTGGGCTCCACGCACGTGTTTTTATGATTTATAAAAAACCAAATAGAATATGTAGTATGTTTTCCTGTGTGATCTGCCTCGGCATAAATGCTTCAAACCCCCCCTTAGTTGTATGTTGTTGGCTTTGTTGTTGAATCTTGTACTCCTGACCTGTACGCAACATCTCTGAAGCTTTATTCTCCTGGTGTGACCTTCCCCGTGCATGGATGATGTCTTGTAATAATATATATCCACATTCTAATTGAGTAACCTCTTCCACATTGACCTGGTTTCGTTTTTTTGCTTATATTTGCAGAAATCGAATTGGTCATAATTTGTTGGGATCCCCTCGTCTAAAATATGGAGAAAAAAAAAAGATTGATATACTAATTTTCACAATGCCTTACTTTAAGTTACTGGTTTTTATTATTTCGAATGGCATAAATCCCTCAAATCATCATCACTTATATTTAGTTTTTTAACTATTTATATATTAGAGGTTCACACCTTTTATCTTTCTCTTAAGGTCTAAATCCTCCCCACATGTTTAATCCCATAGCTTCTGCTTTTTGCCTAACTGCCAAACTAAACTTCTGCATCTTTAAAAATGGCAAACATCAGTGTCTAAAGCGAAGGTGCCATCACGCCTTTCTTTAGAAGGGCCTTTCATACATAAATCTGCTCTCGTATATCTGCGCTCAGAGAGGCAGCCGCTATTAGCACCATGGGACAGGGATGAGGCGCTCGCTGATTAGATTAGTCGCACTGCTCTGCTTCTCTAAATTGCTTTTCAGTTTTTTGTCTCACATTTGCATCCTGATGAAAGTGACTGTGTGATAACCATACTGATGCCACTGATAAAGGTATTTATGATGTCAGTTGTGTGAAGGGGACATGGCATGGGACAGCGGTGGTTTTAATGGAAGTCTTGAGAAAGAGCTTGCTAACAAGGTGAAGACTCGCTGTTCAACACCTTGTTTACAATGAGGACCCTGCACGTTTAATCTGGAAAACACCGCTGGGCATTGTGTTGCTGATGCAGTGATATGGAAGGGCTTTTTATCTGTATCTCAGAGAGAGAGGACATGTTAGCAATGCTTACTGCATTTGTTTTCCGATTTTATACCTTATTGCATTACTTGGCAATCTGTATATTTGATATTGACTACGATTGGTCAGAGGAGATTAGAAACTCCAGAAATGTTCAGCACCTAGCTATAGGGAGGGAAACAAATGAAGCACTCAGTGTAGCTTGACTAAGAGCCAGCACAAATACATGGACCCTCAATGAGGAAAGGCAGGACTGATTATCAGCCAAAGTCTTGTAGAAAATCGTAGGAGACTCTGAACATAAACATGTTTGCCATTCTGTCACCAACACCATCAACACAGATTGTGCTTACCTCATTTGGATCTGCAAACAAAATGCAGAACTGAAACACAGACCTGTGGATAGAGAAACCTGTGGAGAAATGCAGGGTAACAGCAAGAACTTCAAATAGAGGCCCCCCACATGGTATTTATAGCAGGGTGGCAACACGTCACACACGTGCCATGTCTATAAGAAATCTATGTGCTGAACATATTCACCACTTAGTTTGCTACCACTGTCAGTCAGGAAGTATTGAAACGTGGCCTATATTTAATTACTGGGTTTATAGACATGTGGTGGACTGACCGTTACAAGGTCAATGTGGAAACGGGGCGACCACCAAAACGACCACTCAGTTCAGGCCTTGTTCGAACAAGGAAACATGGTTTCAGTTAGATAAGAGGCTGCAGAGTGACTGGGTTCCTTCTTGTGGTGGAGGGCTCACTGAAGGCCCATATTTGTTAGCTTGTGGCTACTCGTCTTTTTTTCTGAGCTTCTACTCTGGGATTAAACAGAAAAGGTGGAAGGCTTAAAATAATTGAAACAATAATAGTTATGTTTGTGGCTATTGTACATGGTGTTCCTCTGCTAATTCCCCTCTTTCTGCCACCTTCCTCCAGCCTTCAACCACTGCTGCAAAGACTCGGGGTTCCTCATGGTGTTAAAGTGTCGAGAGCAGAACGCAGCGCTGAAGGAATGTCTGACAATACAGTGAGTGCGATATCCTCTGCAACACCCTCAAGTGTTATCCCACCAACATCTTTAACATAGGTTAACACTCTGTGGGCCATACTCACCATCACCATCGAGTGAGTCACACAAGAAAACATTAATTCTGTGAAATAAAACTGTTCCTTCTGTCTCCCACCAGCTACAAGGACCCTGCGTTCTTCGAGCAGTGTAAGCAGGAGTACATCAAAGAGAAAATTGAGTTTTTGACGACAGGGGTCGCGACGAAGAACAGGAAACAAAAACTCCCAACTAGCATGTAGCTAACAACATGATAGCCTCCCCCCTTCTGAAGGTGCAGATTGTGAGACGGGTCAGAACCAGCTCCATGTCCCCCACGGCTAGGATACAGGCTCATCTTTAAAGCATAGCCTGTTCCTTTATTAAAACCTGTGGAGTGACTGAAATCAGTTTGGTGTGCAAGGAATATATCTAATTAATGGCTTCTTTTTTTCTGTATATTTGCAAGATGTTTTCTGTCAGATTGCTGGATTGATCTCCCTCACTTGATTAAATCAGCAGCTTTAACATTATATTTAGCGATGAGCTCATTGATGAATTGAATATACAGATCTGATCATACAGTCTCCTCCTGTATCTACTGTTGTGTTGCCTTTGCTCTGCTTACAGCTTGGTACAAATCTGAAGTGTAAAACATCCTTTGTCATCAAAAAGGGTTGGTTTCCAATTAAAGAATCTTGTACAGCGTATGTAAGAAACATCTCAGAGCATTGCAACATGTATGATCATTTGAAATAAGCAATGACATTGTAAATAAAGATATTCAACTGCACTAAAGTGTGTATCGATGGTAAATGACCTTTATATATCCAGTCTATGTAAATGACACACACATCTAACATCCTTTGTTTATTTGAGTTATTGTCTGTACAACATAGACGTTTTGACGTTCTTGACACTGGGGAAATTAAATGTCCAAGCATTTGCTGATTAAATTGGTTGTTCTTATCTCTAATAACATTTCTCTGGGAAAAAGCTGTCTTTCTTTGTTTTTAATAAATATGTTTGAAGCATCACCCTTACAGTTAGGCCTCGCTAGTATAGAGCTAAATGAACCTCTTAAACAGATAACATTATCTAAGCTGTGTTTATTTACTTTTCATTTCAAAAGTAAATTATACTTTTGTTAATTATAATCACTTGTCTTTGATTTGTACTATTCTTTTTATGAGTTGGACCGTTTAAGCCATCTTATTATTTTCATTTTTGTTTATATCTGTAATTCCAAAGAACAAACAATGGCACAATTCGATTAAAAGTGTCAAGGAGTTACTGTAATGGGGTATCCTTGTCATATTAAGAATGCTATTCCCCGTTCACCAGTTTGCAGTGTGGTACCCTTAATTAATGGAAGGGTGGAATTATTGGTAGATATTTTTCATCCTTTTGTTAAAAAAGATTGTGTTTAATAATCAATGGCAAATGCAAACATGAATTGTGATTTTAAATTGCCTGTCTGCTATATTTAAATTCCCCAAGGTATTCATTCTAATATTATGACTCCGAGAGAAGCCGCATAGCCTCACATTGAAAAGCCAGAAGATGGCCAAGTTGGACATTTTTATGGATACCTGACTAAAATAAATAGTTGATTTTCCTCCTGTAATGAATCCAGAAATGGTTTGGTTTCAGCAACATTCAAATAACTATATTTTTAAAGAAAGGTTATATCTGGTTTTGACTATTAATTAGCATCCGAAAGCCTCCTGTTTTTAAACTTTAAACCAGAACCTTAGTGGGGACGTAACACTGACAATATGGATGGACACAGCACACTTCCTTTCCTTTGTTTAATTGAGTATATTTACAAACAGTCTGAAGTGCAGTAAATCTAAAATATAATCCATATCTACTGTACATTGCATTTTGGTTTGCAAATTGTTTACAGAAGTACCAAACTACTGCTGTAAAATAACATTTCTTAAAAATGAACAAAAAGACCAGTTATCATGGAACAGACTGAAGAAAACGGAAATAAAACACCATGGGCCTTTGTGCTTTGTGCACCTATTAGTCACAGCTTACTTTTCTTCAGGTTTATAGACTTATTGTCTTCACCAGTGGAGACAACTCTATACACATCAGAAGCTTTGGGGCTGGGGGAGAACAAAAACAAAAGTATGTTTTGGAGTGCAAAATCCCGAGTACTTAAGCCCACCATATACATTTATACAAATACGCACATTCTTCTCTCAGCTTCTTTGTGTTCAACCCATAATGCGTTTTCCTTTGTACATCCTTCAGGTGATTATACTCATCTGACTTAAAAAGAGAAATCAAAGAGGAACTTCCCACCTCACACTATAACTTACAAATGTATCATTGATCAACATCGGCACAGTAGAGTTTAGATACATTTTTAAAACTCAAACTTATTCAGCTTTCCAAATACATCAGAGTGTATGTAGCCTCTTTCATGAGTCCTTTACACTTGAAAAATGACCAACAATGCACAACTTTACATCTTACATGTCCCTTTACAAGTGAGAAAAGAAACCAACACATGTATTGTCTGACCGTAGCTCTGACTATGTGATCACAGGCAGGTTTGAGGAGGTTTGAGTTGAGACATTTCTGTGAGAATCAAACAGTTTTCCAGTGCCAGTGAGGGTGGAGTGTTTCGTTTCAGAAAGCAATACATTTTTAGATTAAAGTTATTATTTGCTACTCGTTACGCAACATCCTCAATGATTTGGTAAGCATAGCTAAATTGAAAGCCTACTTTGATATTGAATGAAAACAACAACTTGAAGAAAAAAATAGATGGCATTTGGTCACAGAATTCTGATTATCCTTAGTCTGTATGTCTGCTTCCATCACAGTACACATTTCAAAGTCCCAATACCTTTACATTTCCTTCACACCATCATGAGACAAACATGTACATACATACTGTTTACTTTACAGCAATCGAATGTAAAAAGACTTGCATTGGAGGGAGTTTACAAATTCTAGTATGATGCTGTGGCCCCAGTGATCGGGGGCCGCAGTGAATGGAGAGTGGCCCGTTTGAGCCCTATTAGGTTTATTATGACGATATACAGACACAGGCAGGCCAAAGACGCCCACACCCTGCTCTGCACTCACAGGCACACGCTGTTGATGTGTGTTCATATTCACACAGAAATAAAACTGCTTGTATGCATGCTTGCACACACAGACACACTTCTTATTCTGCTGAGGGTCTCTCCGTCAAATGTTCCTCTGCAAAGTCGGATCTGTCCACCGATGCGGTGTGCAGAGACAGAGTGTCCCCCCCTCATAAAGGCCCCCTCCGGCCTCAGTCAGCACCCACTATCAGCAGGTCCAGCCCAGAGGAGTGGTCTTATCAACTTAAGGCAGGTTAGGTGGTAGCTATGTGGCAGGGTTGGAGAGTTCATTCATTTGTTTACTTTCCATCAATATTTAATGACCCCATCGTCTCTCCTCACTCAGTATTGGGGGGGGCTCCTGGGACAGCAGTTTCCAATTGAGGATGAGGAGTTGGAGGCAGCAGAGTGTCCCTCCCAGAACATGGCGTCACTGGGTTTGGGGGGGCTGGGGAAGGACCGCGAGCTGTCGTCCAGGGAGGCTTGGTTCAAGGGAGGCGGGGGCAGCACCACGGAGAAGGGGTCGCTGCCCAGCAGAGCCTCCCCCGAACAGCTCTGGGTGGGCCAGGGCCCGTTGTACCAGCAGTCCTCCCTCAGGCTGTCCGGCAGCGGGGGGCCCGACAGGACGCCGGCTGGGGGGCAGGGGCGGCCGGAGCATGAGGGGAGAGGGGGGGCACCGGGGGGGCGAGGCGCTGCCCGGGAGACTGGGTGGTGGGTGTTCTTTTCAACGTCGTCCAGACACTGCACTGGAACTGTTGAGGCAGCTAGAGAAGAGGGGGGGGGGGGGGGGGTGAGAGCAAAACAATGTGTTGTTATTTAAATTGTTGCCTAAATGCCTAAGAAAGCTTGCATTGAATATTTGCATTGTATTTTCCAAGAAATACTTATTTTAACACTTTAAAAAAAAATACTTTTTCTTTTTGATCATCTTTCCTATTGGTTGTAATGTTAATATTACTGCTGGATGCTCAATCAGAGTCTTGCAAAAATATTTTGTTAAGACAAAGTCAGTGTATGGTTGAGAAGATAAAATGCAAAATGAAAAAAAAGCTTATCACTACCTTAATGTTTGGCATACAGTTCAATTTGAGTGCACTTCATCTGCAACTGTAGACACATTGATAGAGCACAAAGGATTATGGGTGTGATATACTGAAGGATAATCCAAAGCATTGTATTTTTTACGAGTGTTGGTGATTGGCATTTAATATTGAATTTAATATAAATACATCAGCAGTTCATTTCTACAATCTACTATGAGTAGACCCAGAAAACATGTTAAAGGGAAATTATGATTTTGGTAAGACTTCAGATGAGATTCATTCTTCTACACGTAAATTGGTGCATTTAGATTTAATATTGCTATTTTATTTTTCTCCTTTTCTCACTGCCTGAGCATCAGGAAATATCCACTCTAATTATTAGGTTCTTTTCACCAGAACAAATCAGACTGCATAAACTAAGCCACAAATATTCTACATACAAATCATAGTGAAACACAAATCAGCAGCCATTATCTCACACACACATCACTGCCATCAAATCATCATTTTGAGCCAATAATCAAGTTTAAATGAGTATCTCGTCCCGTTTTCATCCCTACCTCCCTGCTACTCCTCCATGAGAGGGTCTCCTGAGTCTACAATTTGAATAAAAGGGATTCCAAAGGAGGAACAATAGAAGAATACAGATACTGAATAAATACACAGTGCACCACCTTTCATCTCTCCTTTTCTTCCACTCCTCATTTCTTCATCTGTTCTCCTCTACGTTCCAGGATTACCCCGTTATTCAGTGGAATAAATAGGCCAAGATTTATTTTCTTGCCATGTTTCGTTCTAATTTTCACCTCCTAGTCTCCTCTTCTGCCACTCGGAGGGAATCGACAACAGAGGCAATCTCTCCTGGGGTAGAACACATCATGGCAGAGGGACAGACTATTTCATGGTGTCCTTTATCAAAGTGAGCACTGCGATAATATCCACAGTCTTATCACACCCTTGTGCAGATTGCAACAAGGAGCAGCAGGAGATCTTTACAGTAAGGAGTACTTCTTCTCAGAAAAGCCTTCCTTTAACAGAAGAGCAGCAGCAGCCCCTTCTTTCCTTTGACGTTAGCCACATTAGTTCCTGTGTCCGAAGCACTATTTCGATTCCGGCCACTATGCTTAAAGAGCACGTCAATCTGACACTAACTGGCACTCAGGTTGAAGACACATTTTCCCAACATTAAACTTGTGAAGCCTCAGTCAGTATATTCGTTTTTTAGTTAGGAAAAGCTGTCACTTTAGTGATGCTTATACTTCAGTTTCCAGACTAGTCTAATACTATCTTTATGTCACTTCAAATCAAAATGAAAGCCTTTTTAAAAGTGTACTGTAATATGCAAAATAATGTTTTATTTAGTTTTAATGGGGATAGCCAGCTTTCTTCATTCATAAGATACAATTAGGTACAGATGTACAATAAATACAGAGAGGAAAATGTACAGGTACAACAATATAAATATGTCTAAATAATATATAATATATCTAAATATGTTAAGGCTGCCTTGGTGTCCTGAGAGGTAACCTGTAAGATATTGCTATGAGGGAATATAAGAAATACATGTTGCTCTCCCTGCTGTATATACTGGAGCGGAGGAGGTGAGAATGCAGGTGCTGGTGGGTTATCACATACACTGACACAGAAATGAATGATTCATATTTAAATATACAGCAACAAAAGCAGGACCCTGTGTGTGTGCCTCACCTTGTTTTGTCTCAGCGAGGAGCGGCCTGAGTTTCCTGATCAGGCCGGTTTGGTGCTTCAGCTCCGAGTGGAGACGGGTGACCTCGCAGCACAGAGCCTGGTACGTCTGCTGCATC